ACGATTTCCTCCACTTCCTGTTCACATGCAGTTCTAGTTGTGGCTAGCCCTTTGATGACTGTGGTTCCTGTCAGGCAACCTAGCTTTCAAACAGCCTTCTGTAACACCATTTCTTTCCCTTATTCTATCCTGGGAGTGAAGGCAGGATATTCTTGTTAGTCCCATTAATCCTGCCCAAGCCTCTGATACAGTTTCTTCACTTTATTTTCTTTAAAGTTCTAGCTGAAGCCAGACACTGGTGGTTAATGCTTTTCATTGTAACTACGCAGGATGCTGAGATTCAGAGTACTACGTTCAAAGTCAGCTTGAGCATAAAAGTCTGAGAGACTCTATCTCCAATTAACCAGCAAAATAATGTACCAGAGGCATGGGTAAAGTAGTAGAGCACCAGATGTGAGCAAGAGCAAGGAGCTCTAAGTTCAAGCACTGGTGCATATGTACATATATGAACACATATGTACTTAATATAACATGTATATATATTGTATTGTATAACATGTATATATATTGTATTATATATAAACAAAAGTTCTAGCTGAGAATTCTTTTGTTTTCTATTGGACCCTTAAATGGTGTAGCATTAAAAATAAATGTTAAGTCATTTTGAATTTATGATGCAAATACATTCACACTGATCTTAGTTTTTCAAGCAATATCCTGGTATCCTAGAGCTGTGACATAATTTCAGTGGAATTTAACTTGATGATCCCAATATCATACATGGACATTACATTTTAATGATAATTATCAATTCTGCTAGCACACTGCACTGCACAATGGCAGTTATAAACTATGGCTAGGTCCTGCTGTCTCCTAGCCATGTGTTCTAGGTAACAGAGTAAAAAGAAATTTCCCTAAATGTTCTAAACGAGGTACATGGCATACAAGAAGTTTCTCATTTTGAAGAGTAGATGCTTACCGAATATTCAGACTCCATGTGGAAGGCAAAGAAGTATAACGTTATCTCCAGTAGGTTTACAATTCTAGGTAGGAAACTGTAGAAAGGTCTTTCTTATAGTATCTCAAATAATAATAGTAATATAGGCAGCTCAAGACATTCATTAATGCATTCACATCTATTCAATAGGTATTTGTTACAAAGTTACAAGGGAGGAAAATCAGAAACAGCCTTTGCCCTTATGGTCAATAACCCAATGGAGAGCGAGATGGTAGGAGAATGGTCACACTAGCAACTGTGTGATTAGTGACTAAAGAAAAGAAAGCAGTACATGAGAACACATCACGAGATTTGATCTAGATGGAAAGGCACAGAAGGCTTCCCCAAGAAAGAAACCTACGGCCTTGGAACATGATCCAGGTATACCATCATCATATTTCCATCATGGAAGGAACCCTTTGATTGTATTACATAAGGATGTCAAGGGGGGGGGAGAACAGATTGTTTTTAAGCTATTCAATCCAGGTGAAATGTGATGGTGTCTTGGAACAGGACCAAAGTAAAGATGGACGGATTAGGAGGATATTTAGGGAAATGGATCAAAAGACTCTTATTGTAGATTAAGTATAGAGCTGGTGGTAGAGGAGACATTTTGGAATGAACTCTAGTTTTCACCTTGCACAAGTTGATGTAGAAAATGCTTGAATTGGAACCAATTGAAATTGGACCATGATTTTGGACCTGGACATTAATTTTGAGGTGCTGTTGCAAAATGCAAAGTGGAGATATAGCCGGATCACTTGGATGGAATGGAATGGAGTTCAAAGGAGGACTGAAGATGCAAACATGAGAATGTGCTAAGTATTTACTTTGTATGAAAACCCTGGTCTTAGCTGACATTTCTTGGGAAGAAACTATGCAGAGATAAAAGAAGAGGCAAAGTCTTATCTATTATTGAGAGGTGAGAGAGAGAGATAGATAAGCTTGAAAGTAAGCTTGAGGAATACAGAAAGGTAGAATAGAATCCAGGAGAATGTGCCATTCTAAGTGCCAAGAGGAAGAGACTTTTACTTGTGGACTAGTCTTCCTTTCTGGCCTAGCACATGAGCACAAACCATTGGTCACTTTATAGTACTTGCCAATTGTGGTAGATTGATTATTGTGATCAATCATTTTCTATAAAGTCTGTGGGCTTTTATACCTATACTACAGATGAAATAAATGTCCTTATCCACTAATATTGTTGAATGTCTAATATTTGGCCAAGTATGTCCTTAGGAATGGTATGCGGCTCAACTTGGTTTGTTTTGATTTCTTGCATTCTTCTGTTAGGAGATTGTGTGCAGTTTGGTTTTGTGGCCCGTTCATTCAGTGTCCCAGAGCTAACCATTCTGCATTGGTCCGTATTACTTTATATTTTTCTTTACACTCTATTTGCTTTGAGTTTTAATTTGTAAAAATGTATGTGTAAATGTCCATGGTCACAGTGACTTTAATTCTGCTTCCTGTTCTGCAAAATTGCCCTCCCAGATCCTCCAATAATGGATTCAACAATTTTCCTGTGTCTAATGATGACATAAACTTCCCATCTATGTTAGCTGTCTTCTCCCCAATATACTGTGGCCTTTGAGGAATGTGTGCTTAGATAGTTTAGAGTCTCTTACTGCCCTGGTTTTTTTTTTTTTTTTTTGTTCATGTGCTGGTGGGGCTTGAACTCTGAGCCTGGGTGCTGTCCCTCAGCTCTTCAGCTCAAGGCGAGGCTTTACCACTTGAGCTACAGCACCACTTCCAGTTTTCTTTTTTCTGGTGGTTTATTGGAGATAGGAGTCTCACGGTCTCTCCTGCCTGGGCTGGCTTTGAACTGCGATCCTCAGATCTCAGCCTCCTGAGTAGCTAAGTTTATAGGCGTGAGCCACCAGCGCCCGGCTACTGCCCTGGTTTTATTCCCATTTCCATATTTACTCTGCCTTCAGGCCTTGAAGCCCTGGGCAGTGGCTCTGATACCCCTGGATTGTACTTCATACAACAGATGTCTCAGCTATCCTGCTCTGAAAATGGGGAAAGGCTTCTGCCCTGAACTTTTCTACTGTTTACCTTAAAAAATTAATACAAGCAATACCATTTATGAGCATCATATCACCATGTGATATTTTTTATACATACATTAGGTAAGTTTCAAATCAGGGTAAGTACATCTATCTCAGGAAGCATTTATCATTCATTTCCGGGAGAAGACATTCAAAGTGTTTTCTTCTAGTTGAAGCAATCCAGAAAAAAACAATCCAGTACATTATTATAATCTAGGCTACCCTACCCTGTAATATCTCCTTCCTTTAACTCTGAAAAGGAAGGTGGGCAAAGAAAGGGGCCAAGGTGAGCAATATTTGGACAAAGAAAACTTCAGCCAGTATAGTGCAATGAGGAACATCCACTAGGGACTCAGGTGGCCCTGGGTTCTTATTCTGAATGCTGTTACAACTTACACAAATTGGAGTTTTTTTGTTTTGTTTTATTTTGCTGGTTGTGGAGCTTGAACTTTGGGCCTGGGCACTGTTCTGAGCTCTTCAGCTCAAGGCTAGCGCTCTACCACTTGAGCCATAGCACCTACTTCCAGTTTTTTCTGTGTATATGGTGCTGAGGAATCGAATCCAGGGCCTCATGCATGCAAGGCAAGCACTCTACCACTGAGCCACCTTCCCAGCCCCAAAATTGGAGTTTTTTAATGCCTATTTGCCTTGGTGTCTGTGGATAATATCTAGATCCAAGAAAGTCAGCAGCCTAGCTGGCTGGAAGCATCGAGCTCATACTGCCAGGGTTTTGAGGTGAGCTTGACATTTGGTAGATGAAGGTACGAGTAACTTGACCTAGTTCCTCCACCTCACTGTGTCTGAGCCTTTCCAGCTATAAAGTGGGCTATCTATGGGAAGTCATGTTAAACTCTTATTGTAGGCTCCACAATATTCAAAGAGGTATATTCTCCAAGAAGATCAAAATCAAATAAAAACACAACAAATGATTCCTGGGATCTCAAAACATGAAAAACACTAAATTGCAGGATCTTGATCACACTTCATTAATCGTTTGTATAGTTGTAATAAAAATGTTGAGTTATAGACAACAGAAAATATAGTATTTATAGGTGACTTTTATTTCCTAAGAGATTTATATCATCAAACATAAATCAAGAAATAAAAGGGGAAAGATAAAAGTAGAAGCCAGGAAACGCTTAGGTTCTGAGCTTGCTGGGAACAAGCTCCCAGCAAGGGAGGTTTGGGAAGTTAAGGAAGTTTGAGAAGTACAGACCAAGCTCAGTACTGTGGTGGAAAGGAAAGGAGTTGAAATGTCATCTTCTGCTGATCTTGTTTTACTTCCTCAAGTAAACCATTGGAGACTTGAGGAGATTATGGAATGAAACAGAACGCACCCTCCGGAGGAAAGCACCATTCGTATGTCAGGAGAAAGAGACCCACAGCTAAGCATCGCTTACCAAATAACTGCACTCATTGTTGGCCCGACTCAAATAATCAGTAAAGCACTGTTTTCAACAACCGAAAAATAATAGGAGACCTTTCCTTTTGTTTATAAAGTATGTCTCAACTTGCTAAATGTTAAGAATGAATTACGTGCCACGAAAGTATTTGCTCAAGTTTATTGGATGGCTTGATTGAAAGGAAGCATTCAAGAATTTGATACCATGAAAGAAGTTGTCTGTGCAAAAATTAAGAAAAAGTGAATTTAAACAAGTTCATGAAGGTCATCATGTGAAAGGATACATCTGTGAACCACCCTTCAAACACTTTTCCTAAATATTCCAGAAATTTAATTCTAGGAATCTTTCAATGTTATTAGGTTTAATCTGAGACAATAAATCTTATAAAGGATCTGTTTAAAAATGGTTTATAAGTAGAAGACATCTGCTGTGTGGAGTTTTTTGCACTTTCTCAGGCTGGAGCACACAATGGTTTTTTTTTTTTTTTTGGTTGTTGTTAATGCCAATTCTGGGGCTTGAACTTAGAGACTGGGCCTTGTCCCTGAGCTTTTTTTGCTCAAGGATAATGGTCTACCACTTGGGCCACAGTTCCATTTCTTTTTAGTGGTTAATTGGAAATAAGAGGTTCACAGACTTTCCTATCTAGGCTGGCTTTGAACCATGATCCTCAGATCTCTGCCTCCTGAGATATTCTTCTTAACTCAAGCTAAATACTCAGATGTTGGATTTAAGTTCTCATTATCATATTTTCTAGGACAGATCACCATTTTCTAGGACAGATATATTATCAAAAGTCTAAAAATCTATGCTCAGAGGAATCTTCCTCACTCTGATGAATGAGGATCAAGTATGACAGGTTCCATAGCAGAAAGAGCTTGAATTTGCCCCATTAGCTTCTACAGGATTATCTTTACATATAAACCCATTAGCTTCTACAGGAATATCTTTACATACAATCTCATGTTTGTACAGCAAATTATTTTCCTTGGAAAAGATTCAATCAAGAATAAAAGTAAAATCCAGATCAGGGATGAAGGGAAATTGCATTCGTTCTTAAAATATTGGCATCAGTCTGCCTTTCTCGTAGTCATTGGAGTTGATAGAGTTGAAGGTATAAGTTGGCTGTAAAATTAAAAACAATACCAAAAGTCATGTTTAGAAAACATTCACAAACTAAAGCTTTCCCCAAGGTTATCAGGTAAGGGATATTCTGCATACTGGCTTTTAGTTTACTTTACTGAACTTCTGGCAGGAGTCAGTCTTACTCCATCTGATATGTAGAAATAGCAAACTAAGCCCGGAGCCGGTGCCTCATACCTGTAATCCTAGCTACTCAGGAGGCTACTCTGAGGATGGCTGCTCAAAGCCAGCCTGGCCAAGGAAAGACCATGAGACTCCAACCACCAGAAAACCGGAAATGGTGCTGTGGCTTCAGTGGTAGAGTGCTTGCCTTGAGCTGAAGAGCTCAGGCCCAGAGTTCAAGCCCCACAACCAGCAGGGGAGAAAAAATTGAAAAAGAAAAACAACAACAACAACAAAAACCAAGAAAGAGCTAATTACAGGACTTGGTCTGAGGAACTTTTCAAAGATTAAAATGGTCCCATGCTGACTATCCAGAAAGGGGTACTCCTTTAGTACAAGTGGAATGGGAAAGCCCTGGGTAGCTTGGACTCACCTGTGTAAATGTTGGAGCAGTTTCTTCACCCAGTTAGTTTCGGGTCTCAGGCATATGACTAACTTCGTCTTTGTCCAGACTCTGGGAAAAATAATCAAAAATTAAAGGGAAAAAAAACCAGTGTTAGTCAATTAGGTACTTCAAAAAAATAATAGAAAGAGTTGGGTGTGGAGGCTGGGAAGGTGGCTCAGTGGTAGCGTGCTTGCCTCGCATGCATGAGGCCCTGAGTTTGATTCCTCAGCACCACATAAGCAGAAAAAGCCAGAAGTGGCGCTGTGGCTCAAGTGGTGGAGTGCTAGCCTTGAGCTGAAGAGCTGAGGGACAGTGACAAGGCCTAGAGTTCAAGCCCCATGACCGGGGAAAACAACAACAACAACAAAGAGTTGGATGTGAAAACAAGGCTTCCTACATGTAGTGAAATTGGAGTAAGGTGGTTTAGGATCTGGAATCGGCAATTTGTGGCATGAAGCTGGAGGAATAAGAAATCAGGTATCTGTGGCCCAATATGTGAGAGCTGGAAGAATGGAAGCCAGCATGGAGCCAGCCTCACAGGGGAGGGTTTTGCTGATGATCTTAACAGAGTTGAAGAAGCTGCCTTCAAGCTTGGCCACTTCTAAAGTTCTATTACAAAATATTTAAGATAGGCTTGTTCATTGAGCTTGGGAGAAAAAAAAAGACTATTGAAAACACCCTGTTCCGGACATTTTGCCCGGAAAACATAAATAGAAACATAAATGCTTTGGCATGGAACCCAAATATGCGTATTAGCTGAAATAAGGTAGATTCAGGAGAGAACATGAATGATGCAATTCCTTAGAAGGGTTAACTCATGGCCCAACAAAATAAGTATCTTGAAAGTGGAGAGCGTCAAGGGGAGCGTGATAGACACATAAAGAGAGGAAGGAGGGATTTTTACGCTGTCACAAAATTCAATGCATCTCCTTCTAAATGAGGAAAATGGAGGGAAGGGTTGGGGTTGGGAGGACTGGTTGAGAATGTTGAAAGGGGTGACATTAATCATGATGCATTGTACTCATCAACTGCTTCGTTGAATGGCAACTCCTCTGTGCAACTACTTAAAAAAAGATAATTTTTAAAAGAAAAAAAATATGTGGGGAAGAGGTTACTGACATGATGTCTTGGAGGCACAGCTTTGCTTGCCCTAAGACATTCAGTGCTAACAAAAGCTGCAGTGATACCAAAGGCGAAGGTTTGTCAAATGTTATTCTCCTGGAGTGCCACACGCTGTGTTCAGCTGCTAAACATGGATTATCTCAGTTCATCTCACAAAACCCTTGTGCTCGGGCAGCTGTTACTTGCTCACTTTTGGATACTGAACTTCAGGCTTAGAGAAGACAAATAAAGTGTCCACAACAAATGCAGGATAGACCATAACTAAGTGAAAGTTATGTGACTCTAAAATTCACATTTTTTGGTTTTATCTTTCTTGCTGTTGTTTTTAATGTATTTATAATGCACTATGTGAGGTTTTTTTTTTTTTTTGGTTTCTTTTCTTCCCCCACGGTATAACCCCTGTTTCCACTATATTTGATTCCGGTGCCCTGCATCTTGTATATATATTTTCTAATTTGGGGAGAGGAGGGGAAATAACAAAATGCTGAAATAAGGACACAGGATTACCCATTGTAACAACGAGATGTACAAGACACTATGTTGAAAACGAATGGGTAGGGTGGGGTGAAGGAAGAGTTGGGGAGTGGGGAGGGAAGGGATGGTAGGGGTAAAACAAAGGAAGAGGTAACAATGCTCAATAGAAAATGGACTCATTACCTTGTTCATGAAACCGTAACCCCTGTATACAGTATCTTTACAATAAAAATATATATTAAAAATAAAACCAAATGATTCAGAGGGAAAAATAAAATTTATACTTCTAAAAAATGTAATGTCTTTAACTTTGCTTTTTAATCTTTAAGTAGCTGGACAAAAATGGTTTTAATTTAACACGTTAGGTTACAAGGACAATGTATCGTGATCAATGTCAACCCTTCCACCATTCTCCCCTATTTTCCCCAATCCCATCTATATCATTAAGTTACATGGCTCAATTTCAACTCTGTACATTGAATATAACAACTGTATTTGCCTCTCTCCATAGAGAGAGGTGCTTTTCAAGAGTATAACCCAAAGTGTTACTAAGTACCAGAGGTCTTGTTAAGGGCTTTACCTACAGCAGAAAAGGTTCCCCAGGAGATAGAAAATGAGGAGACTATTCCACTGGTGTGAACTTAAGCAAACATAATTTCTTAATGTGTCAGTTATCTTAGCTACTGGGAGACAGATAACAAAGATCAATCCATCAAGCTATGACATTTCACTTTTGTTGGTAAGTCTTAGTAAATTCAGATATCCTAGAATGGGTAAATTCTTTTCTGTTTTTTTTTTTTTTTCGGTCGTGGGGCCTGAACTCTGGGCCTGGGCGCTGTCCCTCAGCTCTTCAGGTTAAGGCTAGTGCTCTACCACTTGAACCACAATGCCACTTCCGGCTTTTTCTGCTTATGTGGTGTTGAGGAATCAAACCCCGGGCCTCAGGCATTCAAGGCAAGCACTCTACCACTGAGCCACCTTCCCAGCCCTAGAATGGATAAATTCTCGAGCATCAGCTTCTAGTTTGGGTTTTGTGTTCATGATGGAAATCCAAATAGTTAATGATTTGGTTCTTTTACTCATGACTGATACAAGTTTCTCATAATTATTTGTAGTTATTTTTATGTGTGTTTAAAATTCAGAAATGTAGAATTTGATAAGAAGCAATGCTGTCTCCTCCCCCACAGTATAACCCCTGCTTTCACTGTATTTGATGTCAGTACAATTTATGCAGGGGAAGGGGAAAAACAAGTCATTTAAATAAGGATACAGGTGGACCCGTTGCAACAATGAGAAGTACAAGTTGTCATGTCAAAAACGAAAAACGAACTTTACAACTTTGGGGGGGGGAGAGCGGGGAGGATTGGGTGATGGGGGCGGGGGGGAGGCTGGGAAGGGATGGGAAGGGTAAATAAAGGAGGAGGCTACAATGCTTGATAAGAAATGTACTCACTATCTTGCCCATGTAATTGTAACCCCTCTGTATAGTATTTTCACAATTAAAAAAAAAACAAAAAAAAGAAGTAATGCTGTCAAACTTTTCTTATTTCAAACAATAGATATTAAGATCTTGATTCCTCAAAAATGGCTGGCTTGTAAGGTGAGAGATTTGAGTGTAATCACTGAAATTTGAAATCATAAGACTTGAAATGCTATCATAAAGAAATATATATATATATATATATATTAGAATTATACATTTTTATCTGACCAAGAATGCTATCAAATACAACAGGGTACACTGTACATCTCTGAGCTTGAGGGCCATGACAGAACTTTTATTGGTGAAGACATTTCTGAAAATCTAATACCATTTTACATAAAAAATTTCTATATACATTTTTGGTGGCACTGGGAATTGAACTCAGGGCCTCACACTTGCTAGGCAAATGCTCTATCACTTGAGGCACACTTCAGAAATTCTTTTTGCTAGTAATTTGTTCTCCAGAAAGGCACATAATTTTGTCTCCACCTGGCCTCTGACTGCAGTTTTGCAATCTCTCCTTCCTGAGTAGCTGAGATTATTGGTGGCTACTACCATGTCTAGTCCCATCCAAAGGCACTTACCATATATTTCTGTACATGAGTTGGATACAACTGGTCCAAGGTACAAAGCCCTGGTATTTAAATGAGACAACGAAAAGTAGTTGTGTACAAATATCTTAAGGCCTAAAGAATTTCATGGGAGGGCTGAGGTATGGCTCAGTGGTAGAATGCTTGACTAACATGTCTGAGATACTGGGTTTAATTCCCAGCTCTTAAAAACAAAAGAAAAGGAAAAAAGAAGACGATGTGGAGAGCTACTAATGGGAACAAAGTTGGGATGCCCCAAGAAAGATGTCTACTTTGTATATTGACGCACTGTGAACAAGAGAGTGTAGTAGAATCCTGGCTCTCTCCCTGCTGCAGACAGTGAATTATCCTTCCCATCCATAAAGGAGTGATAACTACTCAAATGGAGAAGGCAAAGAAAGAAAATGAATGCAAACAATTTAGTTCAGGTCCACAGTGAAGTAAGTAAATACCACCAATATTCATGATTAGTGTCAGAATTTTAGCCATATTCTAGTAAAAATTTGAACTTCTTGTAACCATACTGTATGGGATCATTTGTTCTGATAATCAGTGGGAGAAAGGAATCATTTTTTCTTTTATGCAACTTACACGATTTCTGTGTTTGGACAACCATTCCCAGGAGGAAAAATTTGAATTTTCTTAATGAGGTGAAAGGAGACTGATCTTGTGGTGTCTTTAGCACATTTACACTTCAAACTTGTATACATGGCCTCCAGAATACCTGCAAACATGAAACCATTATTTTAATCCTATTTGGTAGATAATTTACATCTAGAAGTTAATTACCAATCTTTCATGGCATATATTAAAAAATTTCAAGCCAATACATCTACCCACATTTGCTTTTAGTTGATGTATTTCTGTTGTCTTGGCTTTTGTATTTTCTTTTTTTTTAATTTAATTTTATTTTATTTGTGAACATACTGTACAGAGGGGTTACAATTGCATGGGCAGGATAATGCGTACATTTCTTACCAAGCATTGCAGCCTCCTCCTTTGTTTACCCTTCCCATCCCTTCCCAGCCTCCCCCTCCCCCATCCCAATCCCCTTCCCCCCCCCCCCCCCCCCCCCCCCCCGCACCGATGTTGTAAAGCCTTAATAAGTTTAGGGTTTTTTTTTTTAGAATTTATGATGGCAATACATTGGTCATCAGGTGATTGCCCATTTCAGAAATTTGAGAACTGTCACTTCAGGGACATACAGCTCAGTTGTAATGAACACAATACAAAATCAACTGATTCCCCCCCTCTGAACACCAAAAACTAGAGGATAAAATCTGGTTATATAATTGTAGAAGCAATAACAACATTGTGGCAACAACATCACATCATAATGGTGTTTCTCCTATCCTCCTTCCTGACCTGCCTTGTCTCTGAGAAAATACACAAAAGATTTGCTTTTTGGTTTGATGTTTGTTTTCCATCTCAGATACAAATTATTAATAAACAAAAGCCAATAATAAACACTCAAGACTCTTCTCATCCAACTATACAAACAAGTTACTTGTAGATATTGTTTTTGTAAAATAAGGAACTTATCTCACTCATTTTAATGACTCTCAGTATCTGTTGAATGGCATTAATCATTCTCTTCAGCACAACACTTACATGCCATGTATATATCAATCAATATATGAAATCAATACATCAATAAACTTGCAAGGTGTTCCCAATTTGGAGGCATGGATAAAAACTAAAATGCCACAGAGGTTGGTGGTTTCCCCAAACTCTCTACTGCATCCTGGGTACAGAGGATTTCCTAACAACTGACTTTCCCAGGAGCAATGGGAAAGCATTGTGGAGGAGGAGAGACATGATGGTATTAAAGAGTGAAAATGGCATGTAAAAATGGGGCATCATCTCCATTTTAAGAATAAAAATGTGTCTCAGAAATCTGAGCAGTGTTTCTTTCTTTACATGTCTCTATCCCTTCAGCCATATAGAAACATACAACTTTTAGCAGGTATTCACACAAAGTGGCTGGCTTAGACTTGGAAGCCTGCTTCTTTGTAGAATGGGTATACCTTGCCCTGGGGCCCATATGACTTCAGATCTAGCTATATGGAATTGTATTTGGAATGGTCCATCAGGAAATCAATTGATGTCAGTAACCTCTAAGCATCACCAAGGGTCTGGTGAGATAGGATAGCACTGAAAAAGCAACACTAAAGAAGAGATCCATGTATACACGTCAAGAATTCTTATTGCAGAAGCTGATCTGACAAAGGCCAGGAATATATAAGCCAAACCTAAGTCACTTGAACATTGGATTTTCAACACCCCATCTATAGATAAAAACCATATAAAAGCTTCCACTAAGAGTTAAATCCTTAAGCATCTCAGTTTCAGAAATTTAGAAGCAACTGAGCGGTTCTTCCCCTGTTGTCCCCCAAATTTTGATTGAAAAGAAAATGGAAGTGGCAGAAGAGCATTGTGTTCAAGGATAAGTAAAAGTGGAAGTGAAAGTTCTCACCGTGCGCTGGAGAGAGGCTGCCCACCAGCAGCAGGAGAAGCAGAGCTGTGGTGTAGAGCTTCATTCTGCCTGGAGGTGGAGTTCAGACTTCAGCTGAGACCACAGGATGGGTCTGAAGCACCAGAGACTTCTATTTATTTATACTAATCAGGGCCCCTCCCACTGCTGTCTCTAGTAAAAGCCCCCAAATATTTGCTGAGTTAGCTTTTAAAGAAAAAAATGTGACTTGCAAGCTTTATGAATTTGTTTCAGATTGCTATTGGCATAATAAATTATTTCTTGATAATGTAGATCAAACATGTCAGGGATGGTGCAGAGGAGGATGGAGAGAGAGAGAGAGAGAGAAGAAAGTAATTCATTTAGAGACTCTGAGGTATGTTCTTTAGGATTACTGTTGGTGATTGTGGCTTTGATTGCTTCTCTCAGTGAAGGATCAATCGCGTTTCCCTTGAGGTATTGACATATAAGCTCCATGACATTATTTTATTATATCCCTAGCACCTGGAGGAGGGTAGCTCTTAGCAGGTGTTTGGTAAATATTGGCACATCTAATAAATGGTTGTGTGTGTGCACGGATGCACACACGTGTGTGTGTGACAATAGTGAGGCTTGAACTCAGGGCCTGAGCACTGGCTCTCAGATTTTTCAATCAAAGCTGGCACTCTACTTCCACACCTCCACTTCTGGCTTTTGGTGATTAATTAGAGGTAAGAGTCTCATGGACTTTCCTATCCCAGCTGGTTTTGAACCAGATAGTCAGACTTCAATCTCCTAAGTAGCTAGAATTTCAGACACCAGACCTAAATGTCTTCTTATTGAAAACTCCTTTTGCTGATTTGCTACAGTCTTTTCTACCAAACCCTTCCTATCTCTTTAATAATTATATAATTAATCTTCCCATCAGAAAAATTTTGTAAGGGGGCAGTATGTGTGCCTGATGTACTTGTGCCACTTAAAGCAACACTTTTGAGGAAGAGCATCTTTCTGGCTGTAGTTGCAAGTTACTAAGCCTGAGAGCCAATGCTCATTAGAACTTCATTGGATGTTGAACTTTATTTTCAGAATGTTTAATCTGTAGATGCTATACATGGAAAGTTGGGTTTATGTCCCTCCAAATAGTTCCTATCAGCACGCAGCCTTAACATTTCCTAAGGGCTGTTTGATTTTTAAAAAATTATATGCAAACATATAACTGGTCTACCATACCAATGAGCACTGTGGCAATGGATAAATTTGGATCTCTCATGCCAGACAAATAGAACCCCTGAAAAAAAAATCAGGAGGTTTAGGATTTTGATGTGACTCCCTGAACAATCTGAACATCTACAATCCTAATTGACTAGTGAAGCCAGTATCCTTGGTGCTCTGGTATGTATGAGGCTTAGGGTGCAATGCCATACAACCTTTACAAATTTAACAGTCCTGAGTTGGCCTGAATGAGTGCAGCTACAGAAAACAATCTTGGGGCAGCCCACATTCGAAGATCTGGTAGCTCTAGTTATTGGAAAGTCGCCTCTCTGGTTGTTCAGTCATTTTGTCCTTCAACTCCTTCATTGCCACAGGAGACAATTTTAAATGCTCTTTTTGTAGGATGGCACTTCAGACATTGGACAGGGTATGTGAGTGGGTTTTGTGTGAAACAGAGGCTGAGATGGATTTGTGAATAAACGCAGAGAATTCAGAATAATTCCTGATACAGGAAATGAGAGGTAGAGGCGGAATTGGGCTAGTCAAGTCCTTAAATGGACAGTCTATGACCACACATCTCAGAACTCCAGAAAAGACTATTCCAGGGCCTCACAATAAACAGGAATGTCCAGATCCTTCATCTCCCTGTCAGAGCAAAATTGAGCAATGTGGACAGCAACTAAAGAGTGTAGGGATAAAGGTACTTAAGGCAGAAGTCTCAAGAAATCTAGATCTCTGAAATTGGCTTTTATTAAAATCTTTCCACCAGGTTAAGAAGCTAGTTACAGGTCAATCCTGCAATCTGATTTTAGGCTAATTAGTGTCTGGAGTTTTGTATTTAGCATATACTGACCAAAGAAATAGTCCACCTTCCTTTCCTGAGATTGGGCTGGTAGGCTGGGTAATTCTTGGCTAGCCAGATGATTCTAACAGTTTCAAGACCAATATTACACATGTCATTAGAGGTACAAATTAAAAAAAACTTAAAAGCCAGGAAGAAAAACATGTTTGAAACAATGGATTTAGGACTAAATAGAACATTAAAAAAATTGGCAGTATTAGGGATTTTGAACTCAGGGCCTTGAGCTTCTCAGGCAGGAGATTTACCACTCCCCCACAATCACTTTTCACCTGAACAAGTACATGGGCTAGGATCAGTCTCTTGTAGGCTTCCTGTCATTGCAAGAATGACAGGTACAGTTTCCCTTCCACCAAGATGGAGTCTTGCAGACTTTTTGGCATGGGTTGGTCTCAAACCATGATCCTCCCAAACCCAGCTTCCCAAATAGTTAGGATTATAGGCATGGGCCACCAATACCTAAGAAATCATTTTACTTTTTAAAAAATATGTTGTGGTTATTATTAAGGTACTGTACATAGGGGTTACCATTTAGTAAGTCAGGTAATGAGTATAATTCTTTCTGGACAATGTCACCCTTTCCTTCACTTTTCCCCAGTTTTCTCCTTCTATCCCTGCTCCCAAGTTGCATAGTTCATTTCCCGCATTGTGTATACGGAATACCATGACTGCATTTGTTCACTCTCCCTCCATTTCTGCACCCCTTCTTTTGTCCCCCTAAAAAGGACAAAATACCCCAAACAAAAACAAACACCGCTGCCACTACCACTACCACCAACAACATGATTTTAAGTGTTCAGAATCATTTTACTTTAAAAATAGCTTTTATAGACAACTTTGTTCAGAAACATCAAAACATATGAATTTAATTTATAACAAAGGGAAAGGTTCCCCCTCCCCCCCACTCAAGTTTTGAATCACAATTGATTTTTCTTTTCAAGCTTATTAAAAGCTGGCTCTTTGGTATCTTTTACTGAGCAGTAGACCAGAGTGTGAGGTCTAATCCCACAGTTTGAGGAGCTCACAGTGGGGTCCACTAACTGGCATCATGAGTTTTACCTGAGAGCTGGTTTAAATGACAGAATCTTATGTCCTGCCTTTTAACAAAACTCCAAGGTGACTTGAGAGCACCTAAACTGTAAGCAGCATGGGGCTCATACAATGTGAGCTACATGGTGTGCGTGACATGGCTTTACTGTATCTCTATGTGCATGTTCAAACTATCTCCAGATACATAGACATGTTGTCTTCTTAGAATGTGATGCATAGATACTGTGGTTAAAGTGAACAGGGCCAATGTGTTCCCCAACACCTATATACAGCAATGACAAGAACGAGAAACATGCTCTCTCAACACATTAAAAATGTAAGATGTCATTGAAAGAGTGCACTACCGTAACTGGCCAAAGTATATGACCATTTAGGTTGTCACACTGGAACAGACTGTTAATACTAGAATTTTGAAGAGATTTAAAGATATTTAATTAGGGATACAGAATGACCCATTGCAACAATGAGATATACAAGATGCTATGTCAAATAACAAACTTTACAATTTAGGTGGAGGTATGGGGTAAGGGAGGAGGGTGGGGATGGAGTTGGAGGGTGGGGGGGTATAGTTGAGGAGTTGGAAGAGAAGGGATGGTAGGGGAAAAACAAAGGAGGAGGAAACAATGCTGGATAAGAAATGTACTCATTACCTTGCTCATGTAACTGTAACCCCTCTGTACAGTATTTTCACAATAAAAATATATACCAAAAAAAGAAAAAATCCTATACTTTAAAAGTAGATTGTAATACAGTAATAGACAATACGTCCTGGTATGTAAAGCAAGTTCTCAGGTTCTTCTCAGATTCAAGCAGGCCAAAGAAAGTTTTGAGGCATGGCGGAAGTAATAGTCACCATTGTATTTTCCTGTTTATACACTCAGTAGCAGCCAACAGCACACCATTCACAGGCTCACGTTCTGCCCATCAGTGCCTCTCTTGCCTCAGAGTAATGGTGCTTGTTTTATAGACAAAGGGGGTCACTGTGTCTCAGGATGGCCATACCATGCCATGCATGAGCACCTAAGCTCAAGGTGACAGGCCGGGCCACCTAAGACAACACGAGTATACATGACTCAAGGTTACACAACGAGGCTGAATGAGCTCAAGCACAGCTCTCGGGAAGTGTAGGCCCATCTCCAGAGTTAAGGGTGAGAAAATAAAATCGAGAACTTCTTTTCTCACTTAACTCAGCTAGAAAACAGAAACTGACCCTATTCAGTGAATGAATATTTTACCCACTGCAATCAGACATAGCTTTTCATCTACACAGCTTTCACTGTGGCAGCAAAATGTGGCAATGTCTGCTTTGTATCCTGTCTACTTTTCCATGCTACAGTTCCTCTTGTGACAGACTGTGGCACTAGCATCTGTGACAGCATCACAGAGAATCGTGTAGCATACACTGCTGCACTCGGAAAATGCCTTACTCAGTCTTTAGGTAAATACCAGACACTCAATACATGTTAGATTTAAAAAATAACCTGCAGTGGCGGCCCCAGTGGCATAGGTCTAGGAAGGACGATGCCCATGAGGAAGGTCCACTCGGCCAAAGAGAAGAGGTGGCAAAGGAAGAGCCCAAGTGGAGGTGGGCCTGGCTGTTGGCCAAGCCTGCTCCGGCCAAGGTGGAACCCAAACCCAAAGCCCGCAGGCAAGGATAAATCTTCTGACATGAAAGTGCAAAGAAAAGGACAAAGGAGAGCAAAGAGGACACAGCCAGGAAAGTAAAGAAGATTTGCCTGTTGTTGTTTTCAGGGTATCTGCTTTGACTCCGAGGTCTTTGTTCCATTTGGAGTTGATTCTGGTGCAGGGTGATATATAAAGATCTAGCTTTAGTTTTCTACATGTAGTTAACCAATTTTGCCAGCACCATTTACTGAAGAGGCTATCTTTCTTCCCTTGTATTTTTTTTTAGCTCCCTTATCAAAGATTACGTGGCTATAGATCTGTTGGTTCATTTCTGGGTTTTCAATTCTATTCCATTGGTCCTGCGGTCTGTTCTTATGCTAGTACC